CAGCCTTGGTAATATCCTTTATGATAAACCAGAAACACAAGCGTTTTGCCTGAGCCCTGGGAGCTGCCCCAGGAGCCCAGGGAGGGGACGTGGCAGGCCAGGTGTTCAGACTGCATTTCTGCTCGGTCTCCTTCCTTCCCACCGTCACGCACGGGTCCTCCGAGCTCACAGAAATGAAAATCTTCCTTTAACAGGAATCAACTGAAAGAGAATCCCCATTCTGGCCCAAATCTCTGGCCATCGCTCCTTTCCCTAGACTTGGTGCACTCTTGATTAGGGCGCCAGAGCCAGTCCTTCCAGAATCACGCAGGTGTGTCTCATGTTTCCAAGGCAACGGTGGCCCATGGCCCGTGGAATGGTGTAAGGTTCTTTCGGGGTAGACCCTCTTCAGTACCTTCTACTTTGGGGACTCTTGAACATTTCAACATTGCTTTAAAAGAAAAAGGCAAATTTGGGCAAGTTTATTCTACCTTAAATTTCAAAAAAAAAAAGACAAAAACAAAAAACAAGCGCATTTTCTATTAATGACTAGACGGCAAGGTCATGAATAGAAGTGGGGCTCAGGAATAAAAAAAACTAACCCTACGTGGGACCTTGGGCATTACTTCAGCCTCAGTTTTCCTCATCTGTAAAATAGGGGTGATAATTTCCGTCTCCTAGGATGTCTGATGGTTAACTGCTCTGACGCAATTTCTGCAAGGCAGAGAGATCTCCAGTACATGCCGAGTGTTTCAGTGTGTACAACAACAATAACGATGTCTTTAATCAGGGGCCGTGGTCCTTCCAGTCTCTTATGCCATCTTTGCTTTGGGCTGCCTGGAAAGGGAAGCTCCGGCCCTGGACAGGGAAGGGGATCTTGGAGGTGTGAACGAGGCCCTGTCTTCTTGATGTCCCAGACCTGCCGTGAGATCCTCAGCATGCTGTGTACCAAAATGCATTCCAGATGCACCAAAGACCTGAATATTTTAAAAAACCAAACCATGGAGGGGAAAAGACTTGAATATTTATCAGACCTCTGGGGAGGACAGGTTGGTTAAACTTAGAAGCATCAGAAAAGATCACAAAGAAGAGATGGATAGAGTTGACGGCAGAAAAATTTAGCACATCTGCACATTAAAAAGACAGGAGAACGTATGCGGCTAAATGAGAGGCAGAGCATGAACTGTGGTCTTTCTCGTGTGTCCTGTGGGTCTGAGCGGGGGTGGGGGGTGATGGACACACCTGACGGGAGGCTGTCCTGCCCTCCTGGGTAGACCAGCGGGTAATTCAGATGACACTTGGCAAAAGAGCACATGCATCTGGGGAGAGAGGAGAGAAAGCATCTCATTAGCAATCCGAAGGGATGAATGAGCCTCTTTCTACCACTGAGTAGTACTGGTTTTAAACATGGCCTTGTAGTGAGTACAGCCCATGGGGGAGGGAGCAAGCTGGTATTTGGGAGCCAGCCCTGCAGTGCTCCCCATGCATAGGACCATATTCTCTTTCCCCCATCCACTAATCGAATGGAGGAGATTGGGGGTTTTAAAGGAATCTGGTGTATCAAGATAGAGGGCATCTGGGTCTCTGAATTCCCACCCACAAGGTTGCTTGATGAGAGTCCTTGATTAGACTTTACGGGATAAGATAGAAACTTCTATTGACTAAGCCACTGTGATTTGGAGACTATTATAACAGCTAGCAATTCCTATCCTAGCTAACACCGTGCCTGGTAATTATGATGCAGTTTGGCCAACAAATTCACTGGTGGAATCTATGGTTGGGGTTCATGAAGTGTGGTACTGGATGAAGCCCTGGTGGGTGGCAGTGAGGTTTCTCAATCCAGTCACTAGTCAGAACTGCACCCTGGAAGACTTCCAGACAAGTGGCTGGCTGATAGAAAAATAGGCTCTGTTGGTCGACTTAAGGTTTTGTTCTAAATTGTTAATGTCGGGTCTTGCGTGTTCTGAGGTTGGGATCGGTGAGTGTTTTGACTAGACCACACTACATCAGGGCTCAAGACAGTATTCAAAGGATAAGCCAAAATAAGAGCAGAAAGGGAGAAATATGGAAGTAATCAGATTGTCCGTATCAGCTGATAATGGCCTGTCCCTGGGCACGCAGCCAGAAAAGGCTGACCCTCCAGAAGCAGCGTGTATACAGGTGACCTGCAAAACCAGAGAGCTGTGACAGCTCGCCGAGGGGACACAGGGCATGGCTTGCAGGGCCACTGGACACTGGTACCTCCTCTGACTGTGCAGGCAATAGGAGAGCCGAGAAGCAACCCAAGCCCTGTGACAGTCACTGCCTGTCTTGGGATGGATGGTATTTGCTTGTGGGATGTTTAGCTGCACCCCGGCCTCTGTCCACTAGGATCCAGTAGCATCTGCCAGTCATGACAATTTAAAAATGCCCCTAAATGTCACCAAATGTCCTGGGGGAGTGGGAGGGATCATTCTTGACTGAGAAATCCTGTTCTAACTGGAGACTTTTTGCATTTAGAACATCTGGATTTCCAACCTCTCCTGAAAAAATCTACAGATTTGGAAAAACGGACCAGGGTTTCCACCTGGCCATCGTTGGTTATTGCAAGTCACCAGCTGCCCTGTTGTGTGATGCAGAACAAATGGCCCCCAAACCTCGTGGCTTAGAACAAGGCGTATCCTGTCCCAGCTCCTGGGCTCAGGGATCTGGACACAGCTCCACAGGATTTTCTGGCTCAAGGTCTCTCCAGGCGTCATTGGGAGTTGTCCAGGGCCGCAGTCATCTGAAGGCTCGACTGGGGAGGGATCTGCTTCCATTGACATGGGTGTTGGCAAGATCCAGTTTCCCACGGTCCTTGGGAGGAGGACCTCAACACCATGGGCTGTTGGCAAGGTCACCCTCAGTGCCTTATCATGCAGCTCAGAAGGTGGCAACCTGCGTCCTCAGAGCAAGTAAGGAAAAAGCAAGATGAGAGAGAGAGAGAGAGAGAGAGAGAGAGAGACGGCACCAGGTTAGGTCTTTGTCAGCCTGATCTTGGAAGGTCCCTCTGTCCTTTCTGCTATACTCTGTTCCTGAGCAGCAGATCATTGGGTCCAGGCACACATGAGAGGGGAGTATGTGTGAGGAGGGCACCCAGGGTGGGGTCATCAGAGCTGCTGTAGAAGCCACTGTGTTTGTTTCCCAGGGCCACCATAACAATGACTGGAAACTGGGTGGCTTAGAAGAGCAGACATGTCTCATCTGGTGGTTCTGGAGGCCAGGATTCTGAAATCAAGGTGTCGTCTGGGCCGCGTTCTCTCTGAAGGCTCCGGAAGAGTTCTTCCTTACATGTCCAGCTCTGGTGGCTGTCAGCAGTCCTCGGCATGTGGGTACACCCCTCCAGTCTCTGTCTCCGTTGTCACATGGTGTTCTCCCTGTGTGTCTCTGTCCAGATTCCTGTCATCTCATAGGGACCTTAGCGACTGAATTGGAGCCCACTTTAATCCAAGATGCTTTTGTCTGACCTTGGTTACATCTGCAAAGACCCTGACTCCACACAAGGTCACAGTCACAGGCCCCAGGGACTGGGACTTCAACCTATCATTTTGGGAAACCCTACGTACCCCAGAGCACCTGCCTACCAGAGATGGGGCGTGTGTGTCTATGATGAAGCAAATCACTGCCCGTGGACGGTGCTCCTGCCCGTGGACAGTGCTCCTGCCCGCTTGGAAGGAGGCCTCTTTAATGTGATTTCAGGGGCTCCTGAGAGGGGGTGGTCCCTCTGCCTGACCAACAGTGCCCTGCGCTCCATGGTGGCACACGCTCTCCTTCCCGCACCTTCCTACTCTGGTCCTGGGGTCGGTGCCTTGCCAGTCTTCTGCACGGTGAGAAGTCAGGCACGTCACCTGTCTCACTTCTGAGTTCCCAGGGCCTTGCCCAGGCCTGACACCCTGCGGATGGGCTGATGGGTCAATGAGTGAGTAAAACACGGAGAAAGTGCTGAAGGGTCGCGGGCTGGAGATCTCTAAGGGGTGCACTGTGGTCTCACCTGGGCTGTGTCCTGAAAGAGGCTGAGGACAGCAGCAGAGAAACCGGTGAAAGTCAAGTCAAGTCTGCGCTCGGAGCAGGTTAGTGAACGGCGTCATGTGGAGGCATTTCCAGGCTCCTCAGTGACACGATGACCTTGGCACAGCCGGGGGAAAGGGGTGCACCAGAGCTGTCTGTCCTGTCTGAAAACCCAGAACTGTTGCAAAATAAAAATTCCAAGTAAATAAACGTCAAGGGCAGAATCCAGGATTATCCCCAGGGTTTACAAGTTGGAGAGTAAACGAGGGCTTGAAAGAGGAGTGGATGGAGGGCTTGGGAGCAGGACCCGGTGACAGATGCTGCCTAACGGGCCACAGAGGGAAGAGCCTGCCCCTGGGCAGCCCAAGCTCCTGTTTCACAAAGTGGTGGAAAGACAGACGTGGGTGGGGCCCTGGGCCTCGGGTCTACCTGAGATAGAACCGTTTAGAACTCTCCAGGAGATCCTTCGTCTTCCATGCCCCCGGCTCCTGGGCTGTGAGGCTCTGATGGCCCATTGGCTGGACAGACAGACAGCAGCACTGGGGGCCGAGGGGAGTGGGGGTCGGAACTGCAGGGCGGGGAGACATCCAACTGCCTGTCCCTGGCGGGCTGTGCTCCCCTCCCCGTCCTCCCCCGGGCTGCGTCTGGGACTCCACATCTCCTCCCCTCACTGGTGGGGCAGCAGGACCCTCAGGATGGAGGCCACTGTCCCCTCCCCAGGAGGGATGGGACACCAGCCACTGCAACAAGTGTGTCGGGTGCTCACGCCCCTTGGAGCTGGTGTTGCCCTTGACCTGCTGTGTAGACACAGGCGGGGTCAGGGTCAGGGTCAGCGGGAAGACACCTGGTCACACTCCCACTGCCATGACCAACAGCAGTGACCGGGTCACCACCATGCCATGTGGGGCCTGCCAGGCGGCTGCCTCCCTTAATTGTTCTGATTTGCTCTCACGTGGGAGGGAAAGGGAAACCGCAGCCAGCCGTGGGGACAGTACCAGGGACAATGGCACACCTCGTCCTGAGGCACCCACAGAAGCGCAGCTGAGTACCCCTGGGCCCAGGATCCAGCGAGCTCTCCAGATGCTGGAAACGGCCTAAGTAAAGTGGCAGCCCAGGGACGTCCTTGGCTCGGAGAGGCCCCTGGAGCAGAAGTGGCCCCGCTCGCAGTTCCTGTCACCTCAGAGACAGGGAACCGAGGCTGTGGGAGGAGAGTGGTGCTCAAGGACACTCCGTGCCAGCCCTGCCTGGCCCAGGGCGGCCTGGCCCCTTGTAGCCAGTCTCTCCTTAGCCTGGAGTGTTTAGACGATGGTGGAGAGGCCATCAGGAGAGGTCTGCAGCTGGGGACATGGCTGGTGACGTTTGCTCTCTGTCTCACTGGAGTGTCTTGTCTGACAATTTCAGAGATGATTAGGATCCAACACAGGAGCCGATCCAGCTCCCAGGGAGGAAGGAGACCATCGGGGGCAGGGATTGGGGTCCTGGCTTGAGGGCCCCCCTGGCCCAGTGAGTGGCCCAGCAGGCCTGGCTTTCTCTGCCGTGGAACGGGGCCCTGCGGCTCTCACGGGTGCCGTGAAGGTTGAGGGTCCCTGTGCACAGCAGTGTGACCTGAGCGTGTTCCACTAGGCCACGGCCTGGAGTGCACCACTTTGCTGCTTATGAGAGGGACACGTCTGTGGTCTGTCCACCCCCTCCCCCCCGGTACACCCCAGGAGGCTTCCCAAGAGCTGGAGGGACGGTGCCCAGGGCCTGCTTCACACTGGGCAGAGGAGCACCACAGTGACTGGGCTTCTCCAAACAGCTGTGGGAGCTCGGCTGGCCTCCACTCTCCCCTCCTCTGCCCTCTCGCCTGCCCCAGGCCTCCTGGCCTCCGTCCTCTGAAGCTCACTCCCACCTTTGATGTCACAGCACTGGGATGAGAGGAAAGGTGGCTCTTCTCACCGTCCCCAGGCAGGGGCCCTGTGGGACCACATGCCCATCCTGGGCCCTGTCCTGGGCCTTGGCTGAGTCCTGGTCCTGAAGCTGGAAAGCGGGTGGCACGAGTACCAGCCTCCACGGCCGGGGCACAGGGCTCCTGGGCAACCCCGGGGAAGCCAGGAGCCTTCCAGGGCGGGCAGCACAGGGCTGCAGGGAGCCGGCCGGGGCTCTCTGCAATTCCTGTGTTGCTCCTCGCCGAGTCACTGGGCTCGACCATGAGGCAGCCCACCCGTGGGGACAGTCGCTGTTCACAAGGCTGCAGCCTGGACTGCGTACACTGTCCTCGTTTCTTTGGGTCGGAGGTCTCTGCAAGAGGGAGCCGCTCAGTCCTCAGAAGTCACCAAGAGCTGACAGGGACCAGGCACTTGCCAGGGTGGGACAAAGTTTCAGGTCATTGCTCGTCCCAAGTCGGGTCATCAGCAAAACCAGCTGGTGGGGCAGGTGCAGTTATCATCTTCCCCTAAGAGGGGGCGATGGGGGCTTCAGGAAGGGGGGTGGTTGGCAGAGTCTGGGGTGGGACTCCAGGGCTCCAGGGCCGGCAACTGTGCCACAGCCACACTCCACCACGGTGTCCCAAGTCTCCTCATTCTGGAGTCCACGTTCATGCCACAGCCTGGGTGGACAGCTGGGCCCGGAATCCCTTGAAAATTTCATTTACTCCTGGGAAATAGCACTGATCTAAGCACTTAAATTGATGACCTCATTTTTCTTCAAAAAAGCCTCATTTTGGAGATGAGGAAGCCGTGGTTCTGAGAGGCTAAGTAACTAGCCTGGCGACACACAGCTTGGAAAGTGGGGAGCCAGCTCCTAGCCATGCACTTCTCAGAGCCACAGGTCTGAGTCCGGAGG